TGCATGTCTGACAAGTTTCCAGGTGATACCGATGCTGCTGGTATGAAAGGGGACTTGGAGAAGCATTCGGAGTAGGCAATGGGGATCCAGTAACCAGAAGAACCAACCAACCAGATGGACGGTTGGGGATGATTCTTTTGGATGGTGATTGCAGAACGGATAAAAGTGATATCTGACTGGAGACAGAGAGATGGGACACTGCTAAAGTAACCCAAGGAAGACATTTTTAGGAGAATCACAGATTTGGAGACCAAATGATTGAATACAGAAGGCAAAGGAGAAGGCAGGCTTTTGTTCATGGGATTACAAGAATAAGGGACTACCCTGGACCCTGGACGCAACGGCACACAACGAATGCTCACTAGGTATCTGATGAGCTGTTCCTTTAAAGGGAGGGTGGAGGTTGAGTTGACAGGATTTAGAATTAGAATGTCACCCACAAGAGAGGGATGGGTTTTGGAAGCCAGACTGGAAAGGTGGAGAATGAAGGGGAAGACACAGAGATACTAGGACAGGGGACAACTCTTTTAGAAACTTAAAAAAGAAGGGAAGGAGAGTAGGAGAACATGGGCTAAAGAGAGGGCATTTATTTATGTATTTATTTATTTAATTTTTTAATTAAAAAAAAATTTTTTTGGAGAGATTTTCACTATAGGGCACATGCGCTCACCAGACAGAGAGAGACATAGAGACAGAAAGTGAGAAATCACCCCCCCAGGGGAGATGGTCACACTGCAATCCCATCTCCTCCATTTTCCTCTCAGGATCTTGGGCATGCACGCACACGTGCCCGGCATGAGTTTATGCCACCAGGTCCGGGACGTGGACTGCGGTCGACTATGTGGGAGTCCAGTGACATAGCCATTATGCTAACTGCTGGTCCCTTCTCATTTATTTATTTAAATTTGCTATAGGGCCCATGCACTTGCCTGGAGAGAAAGAGAGAAAGAGAGAGAGGCAAAGTGAGAACACATGTCTAGGGGGATGGCCACACACAATCCCTTCTCTTCCAGTCTCCTCTTGGGATTTTGGGCAGACATATACATGTGCTGGTTTGTTTTTCAAGCTGCCGGGTCCAGGACTCAGACCACACAGCCATGTGGTATTCAGCTGCCTTCACCACATCACCAGCTGGCCCCAGGATTTTAGTTTTAAGGTGAGAGATCAATACACATATAGATGTGAAGGGATCCAGTAAAGAGGTGAGAAAGGAGACACGTGAGGCCGCAGTTCCCGAGAAGGTGAGAGGAGACAGCATCTGGAGTGCAGGAAGAAACTGACCCTGGACAGCAAAGGAAGAGAGGAGGGACAGATGGAGGGGTGAGTCCGTAGCTGGGAGCTTGAGAGCTGAGAGTCCTGGCGATGACAACTTTTATTTTCTCTGTGCCACTGGGTCTGAGATGCTGCTTGGAGCGGGGATGGAGTTTACAGCAGAGTTGAGGATGATGAGGACAGGGTTCTGAGAAGATCAGTGGCCACAGACAGGACATAGGGATGGGAAGTGGCACTAAGATGCTAGCAATGCACGTGGCTGCGACATCAGCCTGTTTACAATCTCACGTGACTCCTCTCTCCATGGTGACATTCCATCCCTGGCACTTGCCTCCGTGTGAATGAACGAATCAATGAATAAATGAGGTGTTACAGTGCAACGGTGAAAGTGAGGCACCTTGGGTCCAAAATGTGGCTGTGCCACAGACTATCACTCGTGACACTGCCTCATGGACTTGTTGGCTGGCTGAGATGATGCACGGGGACGTGTGGCCCAGGGCCTGGAGGTAGAAGAGCTCAGAGAGCAGCCCTTGTCATTCTCCTAGCCCCTCTGGGTAGAAGCTGTCGATAGGGGAGGTGGTCTGAACATGAAGCTATGTGCTCAAGTTTCTTAAGATCCCTAGGACAGTCAGCTTTGGGTTTAAATTTGGCTCTACTACTTAGTGTGTCCCCTTAAGCAAGCACCTCATCCTCTCTGGGCCTGTTTCCCAAGCTCTAAAATGGGGCTAATAACAGCACCTATTTAATTGGGTCATTATGGAAATTGCATGAAGGGATTCAGGGAAAGCTGGGAGACTAAGGAGCTGGCTTAATAACTGACAGCTATGATGACGACTGAGGAGGAGGACGAAGAGAAGGGAAAGAAGCAAGAACAGCGAGAGGCCAGAGGACTAGGAAGAGGACAATGACAATGACAATAACCATAAGGCAGAGAAACCAAGAGGTCACAGATGATGATGAAGAGGAGCAGAGGGTGGGGATGGCATGGGCACTAATTCCCGAGCATCTGTATGTGAGGGTGGAAGAGCGATGTTATAACAGTTATAACGAAGTAACCGGGAGCAGGCACAGTCCTCCTGGCCCTCACAGGGAATTAGAGGCAAGGGAGAAACAGCTGGGGCCACTGAGTGAGCAACAGGGAGGGAAAGTGAGAAATCACCCCCCGGGGGGATGGCCATTCTACTGTCCCTCTCCACCACTCTCTTCTTGGGTCCCTGAATACATGTATGCATCAGGTGTGTCCCCCAAGCCACCCGTGTGCGTGAGGAAGTTGGGCCAGCCCTGGCCCAGGCTGTTCCTGTGTTGTTTGGTCTTCCTTTCCCACATCTTTCTTTTTTCCTGGGTACTGGACAGTTGCACGCTATCAGGTCACTGCTCACGGGCAAGTGGCTGGCAGCAGCCATGACCGAGCCTGCAAACCTGTTCCAGCCCTGCCTAGCCAGGCCTTGGCTCCAGAAGGAGCTGCCTCCTGCTAGATTCCACAGGGGAGGCTCTGGACAGATGCAGCCCAGAGGCTGCATGCTCAAAACCATCACTGCAACAGCGGGACAAGGCAGTGGTCAGGAGCTGTGTCAGGGCACCAGGCAGGAGGGGGCCTGGAGGAGCAGCCTCTCTCATGTTTACGGGGGGCTCAGAAGCCAGAGGAGTGAAGTGGTCAAGAACAGGTCCCAAAATGCATTAGCCTTGGGCTGGGGGTAGAAGGGCACTAAAGAATAGTGCCAGGTCCAGAAAGTCAGGTAGATGGGGCAGTGTGGCGGGGCCCTCCCGGCGTTGGGGGCATGAGGCCGGGTATCACTGAGTTCCTCCGGCAGTGCACTCTGAAGGCCCAAGTTATGTCTCACTCTGGAGCAGGGAGGTCCGCAGAGTGCCCCAGTGTTCCCGGAAAGGTAAGGTCTGCTGTCTGCTTCCTGACTGCCAGGACTGTCGTGAGCCCTCTGACTCTAACTGAATTCCTTTCTTTCTCCTTCCTTTCCTTACCCCCGTGGACGAACTGTTAGAGCCTTGAATGAACTGACCCTGGTATTCCTGGAAGGAGCATGCCATAACACCCTGGCAGGCCCTGACCCATTCCTTAGGCCTGCCCTCCTGATTTGGACTTCAGGTTTTTCCCAGTCTGCCCGACAGCAAACAGGAACTGCTGTTTGACCCAATTCCAATTCAATCCAGGGTACCTGTGGTGACTAGGCACTCAGGGTGCTGCCCTCGGGGTGTTCCAGTCCCCAGGGTGTCTGTGACAGGTGTCCATGGGGGAAGGAAAGGATGAGCCAGGGTAGATGGCGGAAGGTCAGGGTGAGCAAGCAGCCCCAGGCTCTCTGGGGTTCCACAAGGCAGACCCAACTCCCTCCCAACTCCCTCCCATTTCCCCTGCCAAGTGCCTGCTTGTGACCCCAATTCAACTGCCCTCAAGACAAGAAAGGCTCTGAGGATGCTAGCCCCAGGTCCTCGGGAACTGAAATCAGTGGGGGCCCCTCAGGCCCATTTTCTGCCTGTTCACTGTGGGCAGTGGGCCTGCCGGAAGCTGAGGCTGGCTGAGCCCAACGATCTCCCTGCCTTGCTGCCTGGACCCAGCAGAGCTCAGCCGCCTCCTTCCGCCTGGCTCTGGGATGGGCCTCCCTGCCCCACTGCCCCATCTACCTGACTTTCTGGACCTGACTTCTGTCTTCTCTCCTGCTTGCTACCTACCTGACACTGCCTGCACCTGGCCTCGCCTGGGAGAGAGGAGTTAGACCAAGTTGCACTGAGAACCCCTCGGGGCAGGCTAAGTTGCTCCCACCCTCAACTATCCTCCAAACCTCCAGAAAGAACAACTAGCTTCTTACTGCAGGCGAGGGGCCGTCTGTCATCGTTCTCCTCGAGTACTGGAAGACGAATGGTCTAAGCTCTGCGGTACACCACCCCTGGGGCGGCTGGTGATAGCTGACTGAGGAGAAAGGGGGGATGGACCTGGACAAGTTGGCAGGTATCCCTGTAGGCCCAGAGCTGGGAAATAGGCCTTGGGAAGGGACTCGGTGGGTGGTCTACTAAAGAGTGGTCTGACCCTATTCTGCCACTGAAGCTCCCTAGAGGAATGGGCCCAGACCCTTCCCTGCCTACACCCATCAGTACGGAGTGGAGCCGGACTCAGAGCCAGGCTGGGGCCCCAGCCTCAGGCAGAGGAGAAAGTACCAAGAGGAGGGAGGTCAGGATTTGGGAGTTTAGGAGCTGGTACCCTCAAGGTGAGGGGTCTGCTGTCCCGTATGTGGCCCCAGGGCCCACAGAGACCTCCTCTGGCTGAAAAACAGAATAGGACCTGTAAGATCAGTCAGAGAGATCTCACGGGGGAAAGAGGCGGGTGAGGAGGCAGCTACAAGGTGGCAGCAGAAGGGTATGGAGATGGGGAGTAACACTGGGTCTGGCCTTAGAGACACGAGCTTTCCTCACCCACAGGACCTACGGCCAGGGCAGGGCCCCTGGGGGCTGCTGGGGGCTGGCTAGAGAAGGTGGAAGGAGGGCTAGAGAATGGGTTTCTGGAGGCAGGAGAGTCTATCAGGCCTATCGGCTGCAAGAGTCAGGCCAGCGACACCCCCAGGCACCTCCTGGCCTCTCTGCTTTTGGTGTCCTGCAGCTTCGAGTAATCACTGCTTGCTCTGAAGAAGGGTCCTACTTAGTCTTTGCTGGACTTGAGGGAAGGGGCAGCCTTGGAAGCTGGGGAGTGTCAAAGGGGAAGGAGCTGGTGCCGGGAAGCTCACCACTCTCTCCTTGTAGACGATGTACTTCAACCACTTGAAGTCCTGCCACTTGAAGCCCGCGAGGACAAAGAGAGAATCACGCTCGTACTGCTCTGGCCGCTGCATGGCACCCTCGGGGTAGGTGATGCGCAGTGTGGTTTTGCTGCCCACGTCCTTCTCAAAGCCTTTCACTGGCGCTGAGTTCAGTCTACAGAGAGCAGGCCCTGTCAGAGACAGTCTTGGGCCTGCATTTGGGAAGGCACCAGGACCCTAGTCCACCCCAAGTGGAGGAAAAGGAGTCTGGGTCACCTGGTGCCACTTATGGGTCAAAGCCCGCCAACCCGCGGTTTTTGAGGCTTCTGCTGACCTCAGCCCTACTGGCCAGATGGACAGTTCCAGTGAGCTCAGGGACTGGACCAGGACTGTGGGTGCCTGAGGTGCTGCTTTGGGAGCTCACCTGACCACGATGTCGTAGTCGTCAATTCGTGACCCCAAGGACTTGTTGGCAAGGACACCTCCATTGCCCACGATGATGCAACGGCGGCAGCGGAGGCTGAAAGGAAAGAGGCAGAACCCCCC